GCCCTTATCGGCGCATCCCCAGCAGCAGTATCCCCCCAACCAGTACTACCCCCAGCAACTGCACAATATGAGCATTAGCTGCAACGGCGGCGGCAGTAGCAACGGCAGCAGCCACAAGATGCTATCACCACGCGTTCCAGCAGTAACGTCGGCAGACTGGCCTGGAGGCGGCGCCAGCGGCGCCGCCACGCCGACGGCGGGTCGACGCAGCCGCCGTACGACACAGCCGGGTATGATGCTGCCAGCGTACGGCGAGGACCTCATCATCACGTCACGTGCAAGCGTGGAGTTGGATCCCCTTGCCGTCAATGACGTCAGCCTTGGCCAAGTGGCGCTGCCGCCGGGCTCCACGGGGCTTGGCTCTGGGGCGCCGTACAGGCCCTCTCTCACGACCAGTGCCTCCGGCCGCTTGCCGTGAGGGGAAGACCAGCTCCCGCTCCCGCTCTCGGACCAGTTCCCGGCCCCAAATGGGCGGGAGGCTCCAGGGGGGGTAGGAATCAGAACAGAGCGACGCAGAAGACGGGAGGGAATGGAAGAGAGAGATAGAGAGAGAAAAAAAAAGAGCGAGAGAAAAACAGGGTGGGATAGAGAGAGAGAGTGAAAGGAGAGCTGTATCGGGGTGCTGCACACCTACCTATCGTATGTTAGACCAGACGAATACATGCAAGCGTGCGCGCCTACGTGCGTCATGTGCATAGCTCCGGGGCATCTAGTTGAAGGCTTTATTTGAGGACTTTACACAGGAAATTAACTATGCATAGGGAATCGAGCCAGCAGGCCGTGCGACGTGTGATGTGCCGTACACCGTGCTTGGCGCGGTGAATGAAGTGTGGGTGGATCCACATGCACGTCTGTTGTGCGTTACGTACGACACGCGCCCTCGGAAACCACACGCGCCTGTTCGCGACGCACATCCAATATTTCGCGATTACATACATACATATATATATACACACACGCTCATCCACTCACGTGTTTTTGGAGTCGCAGGAGGACGCCGGAGTCCTAATTAGCAGATGCACCAGATTAACAAAAAATACAGATGCGCGCATCCGCGTCAACAGTCCATTGGCTGAGCTGTTGAAAATAACACAATAACAGTTTTAATTGGAGTTTGAGATTCGAGGTTTCGACCCATGGGTCGTTTCGTTCGTGTTGCAAAAGGATGGAGACGGCCGAGGCCGCGCTGCCTCTATAAAGGGGGCCATTAGCAGCGTTATTCGCACATTTTGTACTAAAACATGTCTATAATTATAATAATATCTCACGAACTTTATCAGCCTTAGTTGTTGCGCTAATTCTGTCGAAGCGCGGCGACGCATTTTCGTCGTGGCCACGCGCCCTCGCGCGCCATCCAACCGAAGCGAACATTGTAATACACTGTGTTCAAAGGTCTTTTTTATGTTCTGGTTTTGAAGGTCACGGCAAGCCTGTATGTAATGGCTCATGGTGAGGGAGCAAACAAACGTTTTATAAATGTCCTTCCTCCCCAAAACATTGTTTATATGTTGCGAGGCAAATGGAGGGCTGCAATTCCTCGTGGGGTTGCAGCTCGCTTTCTACGCGCCATATGTGCGAGTTGTGCGATCGCGAGCCATCATTACTTAAGCCATCTGGGTGTCGCTTAACGTCATTTGGATGTCACTTCTGGCTGGCTGGTTGGATGTGAATAGTAAATATTACGGTCATATTACGGTGATTGTGAAGACGTCGTTGGCGAAAGCTGTCGAGTTTCGCCAGCCAGGCTCGGTTGCTGCGAGGCGTTGTGCCGCAGCCGGCTTGCCCCGGAGGACAGCAGCCTTCCTCTGCGCATCATTAGGCGTCCGTGCCGTACAATGGGTTAGAGATTTAATGTACGATCCGTCCATCTGTGTTCGTACGGGGGAACTAGAATTTTTGAGAAAAAAGGTCGCCAGTGTGGGAATCCTTGCCAGAGATGGCATGTGGGTTTTGCGTGCATGGGTTGTGGGTTTTGCGTGCATGGGTTGTGGGTTTTGCGTGCATGGGTTGTGGGTTTTGCGTGCATGGGTTGTGGGTTTTGCGTGCATGGGTTGTGGGTTTTGCGTGCATGGGTTGTGGGTTTTGCGTGCATGGGTTGTGGGTTTTGCGTGCATGGGTTGTGGGTTTTGCGTGCATGGGTTTCCCCACGCCTGCCCGTGTGTCTGAGTGCCCATATTGACATCAAAGTCCTTCTTTGCAGGACAGCGTGCCGCGCAGGGGCCATTACGCTGGCCGAGGACAGATGCCCAACCCACCTTTGGAAGCGAGGGGCAAATTCGTGGAATATGTGTGACTGCGTGTGTTTCACAGGTTCCTTAAGGACCTGCGTTAGTGCGTGTGTATGTGTATGTGTATGTGTATGTGTATGTGTATGTGTATGTGTATGTGTATGTGTATGTGTATGTGTATGTGTATGTGTATGTATGTGTGTATGTATGTATGTGTGTATGTATGTGTGTGTATGTATGTATGTGTGTATGTATGTGTGCTTGTCGTCCTCACGGCCTGCACGAGAAACACATCCGGGGACATAGTCTCCGCATTGCCATAGTTAAGGGGCCGACCTGGCCCGTTGTACTATATTGTACGGCTCCGTACTATACTGTACTGTGTGGGGGTTGTGGTGTCGGTACCTCCGCAGAGTGCTCCGTGATTTGGGTTAACACTACGTTTCCAGGATATGATGATAGCCCGGGAAGCGGTCGAGCCCCTCTCGCCATCTGCCGGACACCCGGCAACTTGTATGATCGCCAGGAATGGCCCACGGCAGTGCCGTACAGGCGTACGGCCCACGGTGTCCGATCTGATCTGAAGAAGTGGCTCCACCTATCTGGATCTGGGATGTGGTTCCGTTCCTGAGCATGAAAGCGCGTGGCGATGTAGCCGCCTCCCTCATCCTCTCCGGGGAGATCAGTTTGTGTAGTCACGGTTGGGATGCGATGTGTGAGTGTTAGCGACGTACAGTAGTAAGTCCAGTTGTAACTTATGACATTTTCAAGTACGGAGATTTAAGCGCGAACGAGCCACGGAAAAGAAATTCATATATATACTAAATCTCTTTATGGAAAAGGCAACTGGAGTGGAATCCAGGTTTGACTTTCCGGAGTCATAGGGCGTTGTCAGCGCCCCAGGCCCTCTTAAAACCTTGCTGTAGCAATAATTCTTTGATGACGGAGGCAGAGCTCCCGAAGCACACAGGAGACAGGGATTCACGTGCATCCCGTAGGCATGCATCACAGGATTCAGGTTCACGGCTTCCTCCCCCACAAGTAGAGCTGTTTATTTAAGCCCACCTGCCTCCGTGCGCGAAGTCACAAGTCGAAGACGACGGTCGCCAGCCAGGTAGGTAGGTAGGTGGGCCTTCAAGCTTCAACCCGCCAATCGGAAACCCAGCACGCGTTCCGTACAAAGTGACTGTCCTGGTTTGCCGCCGCCAGGGGTTCGCTGTGAGTTGGATTTCTCGCATTTTGTCGCGTGCTGCTGCCGTCCCTCCTCCCCGGCTGCTTAAGTGCTTAGGTGCGAAACCACTCGCGTACATGCAGTCTTCGCTGACTGAGCTGAGCTGAACTCCTCCTCAGCCATCGTGGCATCTTCACTGCGTTGCAGATCGGACGCACTGTACGACCTGTAGAGTGTACGACGGTACGACGGTACGACGGTGCGACCTTAGCGGAACGAACATCTACATGGTCGTATATTTTCGGTTTTGATGACATGTACGAAAGCATGTACGAAGACATAGACGTGCATCCTGTAAGACTCCATTGCCCTCCACTGTCACATCCCAGGTTGCGTCCCAGCTAAAAGGTGACTATCTGGACGAAGAGCCGGCAAGGGGCTTGGGGCGGGTTTTGTCTCACGCTTGATAACCTTCCTTAACAACAACATGAAAGATCAGCTTGGCGCACGAAACAGGCAAAGGGCGCCGAAGGAAAGCATGGGTGTACGTCTCCAGCTGGGTGCCTTGGGTATTCTAGAGAGCAAATTAGTGTGCCGGTTACCACGCGGGCGACCTCGGTCACGACAGACCTCCGCCTCATATTCACATTCTTCTTGCCTTAATTTGTATTAGAGAGTCCAAAGTTCATTTGGTTTTCGTTCCTTGCTTCAGGGTCATGGTGTAACAGATGCCATGTGACTTGAAATCCAACAGAAGTTGTCCAAATTGTTTTCCATGACAAACATAATTCATATTATGTCATGCCGTTTCCGTTCCATTTGCGGTGTTGCCTCCTTAACTTTGATAGATGGCTGCCGTCGGGGTCAGATGGCACACACTCAATTTCGCAAAGTACGCATCTCACTTGCAAAAAGAATAATACTTTTATGTGCAAGCTTCCATTTGGAACAATTAGCGACGGTTGGCGTTGACATTTTTGAGGGGTCTCATGGTGGTCTCACCCCTTTCCATAACACCACATAGGGTTGCACCAAGTTAAGAGATTGCAGGAATTGTACAGTGATTAATGCAACCCGCTCAATTTCCGAATGTTCCGAAACTTTAATCGGGCAGCAGTTCCGTTAGCTTTCTGCGTGCGTCTGTTCTCTACGGCAGTACCGGTACGGAGCTTTTCTTGCGAACATTCCTTCCATGACAACTGTCCTTAGGCTTTATTTATTATCATATGCTACAAGTGAGCGTAAAGAGGTGGCGTGCTTAAGCATATTTAATGCACAAAGCGCATTGCGGCAAACTGCTGGGGTTTCTACAACGAACCCATACTTCTAGATCCTACTGATATTGCAACTGCTTACCCTGTCGCTACTAAGCCCCCTGCGCCTCGCGATTGAGCATTTCCGGAAGCACCATGCCTTTATGGTGGGGGAGTTGAGGAGTTCCTTTTTCTCCCTTTAGGCGACTTTGCAGCAACGATGCAGATTTCTCTAAACGTTTATGATGTGAGTTGATAATCAATTCCAAGGGTTTCGCTAACATCCGGCCTCTTGAGCAGACGAACACGATTGCCCCGCTCAGGTGACCAATACCCCAAACGAAAATACCAATGGCATGATAACTCGGCTTAACAGTATTACAAGAGAGCTTAACCTTGGAGGCGTGGTAAGTAGCGGACTCGCTGCAGCAGGCATTCGTCCATCTGAAAAGTCTTGTCTCTTTCGCTCTCGATCAAATTAATTACAGCATAATCGTATGGCATGAGCATGCATACCCTCTGCAAATGCGAATTTTCCTACTAAGAAGTGTTCTCGTTCACAAATTTGCGCCATGCGCACTTCAAGCTGTTCTCATCTAGCTCAGCTCGGTGCCGATACTTGCTTTCCGTTTGTACTCCCCAACGATCATGTTTCAGTTCCATGGAGCAGTCCAGCTGGAAGACTTGGAGTGGAGCTTCGGGTACTGCGAAAGTGGAACCGGCGTTTACTGCTGTCGCGCACGCAGCAATAGCCTTTACACGTTCAGGTGGGTTTTGACCCATCCAATTGATTCAGCACCCCGCCTTACCAGTCTGAGTCCAGGACGTCAGGGCTAGGCGAAGAACGGCTATAAAGTCCAGATGTGAGAGCCCCACACCTGAACCAGAAGGCAAAATCTTCACGAACCGAACCCTCCCCACCACGCCTCAATCTCCACAACAACAACCCATCCCCATACCTTACTCCACAACTCCACGCATACTGTCCATTTATTCGGCGCTCTTCAGCAGTAACACCGCCATCTTGGACTCACCACAACAGTGTTCCGCAACAGGTGGTGTTCATACGCTCGCACACCCGGCCTCACCCGCGCCCTCCTTTTCATTTCGCATTTGCCTCTCTCACACACACAAAACGCCATACCCTTCCTTTACCAACCGTCAACCGCCAATCACCAACTGGCCTTACCGCGACAGGGAGCACATTGAGTTGGGTGCGACACGGAAGACAAAGCAGGAGGTGCGACTCGGGACTGGTGACGGGGTGGCGTCGGTGGTGGCTGCGGTGGTAGTGGTAGTGGTGGTGGTGGCGGCAGTTGTGGCGGGTGGTGGGGGTGGTTCGGTGCGTCAAAACCCTTTCGTTCACCGCACGACTACCATTATAACTATTTTCTGCCATCACCTCCATCACTACTATCGCTGCCATCATATTACCACACCATCATCATCACCACTTCCTGGCTTTGCCTGGCCCACCCTCTGCGACCCACCATCGCCACCACCATCCGCATCCATCCAGATTCGGGAGATCCTGAGCCGCTTCAAACGCGCCTGGCCGGGGTCCTCGTACGACTTGTTGCAACGGAACTGCTGTCACTTTTGTGAGGACCTGTGTCTTGCGTTGGAGGTACCCAGTCCACCGGGTACGTTGTTAGTTGGGTTGGTTAATTAGGTCGGTTGGGCCGTTGGTCCGGCAGGTATGACACACAGCGGTCGGCAAATTGAATACCACGGCTGAAGGAGGGCATAATTCCCGGTGAGTAGTAAACCCAAATAAGGTATTGGGCGCCTTCCGGCACCGAAAAAGGGCCGCATTATAAGTGCTGCTCTTTCCATACACATTGCACTCCGATCGTTTTACAAAGGTCACGCCTCACGCCTCTGTTCGTCGCCATGCCAGCGGGGTTCACCCAGCTGTGGGAACAGCCATGCTAGGACCACATCAGCAAATCACGGCAAGTTCTTCTGGTCTTAGCCATGAAGTTAGTGTCGCTCCCCGAGTTAGTATCCACCCCCTTCGCCAAGCAATATACATGCCCAAGCCCACCGTGTGAAGACTCTCGTCTGCTTTGGTCATTTTTCACAAGTCGCATGCCGTTCATGTTCATCATTCGTCAGCGGCTCACGTGCACCACCAGCGTCACCCTCATTTACACAGCCGACCGCATGCAGTTGAAGTGCGGGTCGCGAAGGATAATCTCGACCTTGTCGGCGATGTGCGTGTAGAGGAGCACCCACTGGTGGAGGGCTACACCATATTATGACAACGGAGCAGTTAAAGTCATGCATTGCGATGCAGTGTGGGCCCCCCATGGCGACATGGCGCTTTCGGTGAATGGAATCCGTTCCGTTCATAAGCCTGATGGCCGCGACCGTAACATCGGGTTTGCTTGCTACACTGCCTGCTATACTGCTAAAAACGTTGCTACATCCACATCCCGCAAACAAAAAATCACTTTTTGCATTGACCCTGAAGCGACCTCGAACTACGCTGTACCTTGAGCATTTTCACGGTTTCCAGTCGCCTTTTGGATTTCGCAGTTTTCCTTTCACCACCGGGTCTTGGGGTTGCGCGTATCTTTAGATTGGGGTCGTGTGGGTTTCTCGATTACCTCTTCCTCCTGCAGAGCCCCATATGTGACGTCCTCCGTTTAATTCTACTTTCGCTACTTCTTCGAACAAACCGCCGCCGCCACACCACGGACGCCACCAAACCGTTACCCTTCCTAAGCTCGCGCATCTTTAGAGCTATATACCCCTAACTAACGCAGTACAGTGCTAACTGCTAACCCTGCTGCCAACTACCAACAATAAGGGGCGGGGCCCGCTGGTTGTTCACTTCCCTTTTCTCGTTCCCCCTCTTGGCCCGTCGATCCTGTTTGTTTGTGTGCTTGCCCCCTTTTGAGAAGTCGCCCCTCGTCCGTACCCTCCTCCTCATGTGCCGTACAGCCTGGTTGAATCGCTTCGCACAGGGCGCCGATGCCACTGTCAAATTCACCAACGAGGCATCGGCCTTGGTGGGTCTTGGGGTGTTGGTGATTTCGGTTAAAGTTACAAGTTCGCACACAAGTGCGGGTGTGTCCGTAAAAGCCTGGGGGGCCATGGACGTTGTATTGGTATTGATGCGGGTACGCGGGAGGTCATCTTTATTCTCCCTCGTAAAATGGGTGGTTAGGTGGTTTAAGAGGGGAAATTGGGATATGGAGAGAGTGGTTGGGCTCTCATAAGGCCCCACCACCTCAAGGATCTGTAGCTAATATCTTCGACACAACACGACAAAGCGCACACCATAGGGCACCGCCACCGCAGTCACAACCCCCAGCGCAGTTCGTCCCACAACTACCAACCTCTAAAACCACAACAACAATCACAAAAACCACAATCGCAAAAACGATTCCTTCAGGCGAAGCGTGTGGGCTCCAACATCTCATTCACCGCGCAGCAAAGCGCCCTTTGGTTTCGGGAAATATCCCAGAGGGTACTTTCACAGATCGCCCTGCCATCACCCACCTCGGACGCAAGCGCTGCCGGCGAAAGCGGTGGCGGCGGCGGCGGCTCCGCCGCCCTCGCGGCGGATTGTGACGGCAATACCAGCAGCCCTAGGCTTCCCACCTTTCGCCCCGGCACCTCACCCACTCACACCGCCGCCCCCGGCATGGGCAGCGTCAGCAGAAGCTGGGGCAGCTTCAGCGGCGCTGCCGATCTCAGTGGTGGTGGCTGCAGTGGCGGCGGCGGCGGCGGCGGGGGCAGCAGCGTGGGTCGATTCCCGGGTCGGTTGCGGCCCTTCAGCGCTGCGGCGGGGGCTGGGGGGGGGAGCACAGCATCCCCGGGACCTCCCGAATATGGAGGAGGTGGAGGTGGTGATGGTGGGTGTTCTGGGTTACCGGCGTCGAGGCCGGCATCGTGTTGCGACCTGTCGCCTGTTTCGTCATTACCCCTGAAGACGTCCGCGTTGACAGCAGCGCAACAGGGAGGGGCAAGTCGGTCGCCGCCGCCGTCGGCAGCGGCAGCAGCGACACCGGCGCAGCAGCAGCAGCAGCAGTCTGCCGCCGGGCAGTCATCACCCCTGGCGGCGGCGCTGCGGCAGAAGTGGCTGGAGTTGGAGGCGTCTGCGGGGGACGGCACGAAGCAGTTTTTGGTGCGTATGCCCCCGACAAGGGTCTCATCTAGCCTTGCACATCTCTCGCCACTCCGTATTACTCACGGGCCAGTCATTTCGCTTGAACATCCCCTCCTCCCCGTCCTTTTTCCGTACAACTCCCCTCCGCTCCCCCCCCCCGGAAAACACACACAACTCACACATTACCCACTTGCGTTGGTCCTGAACAGCTTGGCCTGGTCAAGACACGCCAGACGCGACTCGCGGAGGAGGAAGAGGTCGCCTCGCCTGCAGGCGCTGGAGGGAGCTATAGCGCCGCTGCTGAAGGTGGCCAGACGTCTCGGTCACCGAGGTCTGAAGGTGGCCGAGACGTCTGGCCGGTGACAACGGCGACCCACGGGTCACACGGCATGATGGCCTATGCGGGCCCGTTGTCGGTGGCGCCGGCTGCGGCGGCGGCGGCGGCGGCAGCAGTTCACGACGAGTCTACGCGGCCGCCGGCACTGCAGCTCATCAGCCACAGCCTGATGTCGCCGGACGTGTTGGTGGGCGCGTCGGGGCTCAGCGCCGCCGCCGCCGCCGCTTCCACCGCCGTCGTCGGCGTAGAAGCAGGTGTTGTGTCGGCGGAGTCGCCGGCGGCGGCGGCGGGTGCGGAAAGCCCGCCTACTTCAGGAAGTACGGGACCGAGGGCGACGGCATCGGCGTCGGCGTCGGTGACGCAAGCTCGGCACCTCTTGGACATGTGAGGGGATCGTACGGTGCGTTTATATAGCATTGCATGTAGGTGGTTGCGGCGGTTGGCGCTATAGTTCCGGTTGCTAAGGGGGCTGCTAGGGAGAATTGTTGGGATATGGGTTGTGTATGGGGTTAAGGGATAGTATCGCGCGCATGCTGACATGTCGTGTCCTCCAGAGATTTGGTGATCTGTTGATTTATGGCTGTATGTATGTATGTGTGTATATGTGTATGTATGTATGTATGTATGTATGTATGTATGTATGTATGTATGTATGTATGTATGTATGTATGTATGTATGTATGTATGTATGTATGTGCAGCGTGTGCTTCTTGTGTAAATGCCAGGTAGAACTGAGGCGCCGCCGGGTGTGGCTTTTATACGAGTGGGCTCTCAAAATCGAGCGCGCGGCCGTGTTTGTCTGTGTGGTTGTGGTTGTGTGTGTGTGTGTGTGTGTGTGTGTGTGTGTGTGTGTGTGTGTGTGGCAATGTGGCTGTAGAGTGGTTGATGGGCTTGGTGTCCGTATCGACAGCCGTCACAACCTTGTGTGCGTCAAAGGAACTCATCTCCATCCTTCCGCGGTTCGGTCGTTCCCGCACCGAGATCGAAGTTGAGTGGTAGTCAATAATCAGGTGGCGATGAGGTGTGATATATAACACGCGCCTATATGTGTGTGTGTATTGGGGGAGGGGGTTATGGTGGCGAAAGGAGGGGTGCGAGTGATGACATATCCATGATGAAGTGTTTTGTGTCGGCCGAAGCCCGAGACGCGTAGAGGGTGTGTTTTTAAGGGCAATTTTATTTTGGGAGTTGAGAAGGACTGCAGGAGGAGGCGCACGTCTGTCTGTCTGTCTGTCTTTAGGTCGGTTGATCGGCAGGCTTTCTGGACACCTAGTACCAGTGTGATTTTTACGTGTACCGCTGCGGATTATTAATTGTGGAATAGATGTATTACTGGTTGGTTGAGCGGGAAATTAGGCGGACGATGACGCGGAAAGCTGCGGCTATTAACAGACAAACAAGCAGACAAATTTACTGCTGCTGCTGCTGTTGTAAAATACTGCTGCTGCTGCTGCTGCTGCTGCTGCTATTACTGCTGCTGCTACCCTTTCATCCCTCCGATCAGGGCCTTCTTGGCGACTAGCTTCAGTACTAGAGATCTGAGAGAGCTGTTAGAACACGACGGTTGCCAGGTCCATTCCGGCGGCTCGGGCTTCGACTACGCGTGCCATCTTGGGCTGCCTCGCAATCCCATACCGATAATAAAGGTGGCTTGCAACCGCCACTGCGCGTGGTCAAATCCTCTGCATGAAATGAAAGTCGATGACACATTCTTGTTCTGACTTTCTTGCGTCGCCCTTGGTTGCCAAACCACCAAGAATGAATTATGATATCTTTATAGATGAACATTGCTAAATGTTGTTTGGTCGTGTTTTGTTTAGATCCCGTTTACTGAAGTCGGCTCCGTCGATGGCCGAATAGCCCCATTCTTTTGTTTGGCGTAGGCATTACCGATTTTTATGCAGCACCTGGAGCTAAAGGCATCCTTACTTTTTAGATAATGAATTTCGGAAAAGCTTATGGCCGAATAACTTTTGGCTCCAAGCCAGTTTTAAGGCAAGGCAGGTTTGTGCAACTCAGGAACGATTCTTTAGGATGCAATTGTTACAACGAGCACAGGGAAGCAACCCGTATCACCAGCTGTATATGCTAGCGTTTGATAAGCAACCAACCTATACCCCAGGGCACGTACTCCCAGCAAATAAGCACGGAGCCGCACATTCGCAAATAAGCTGGATCAATGGCCCCTCCTCCGCTTCCTCTGGGCCTCACTTCTTTGCCATTTTGGAACAGCCTGTCCTGGCGTGCAGTTTGTGTTTCATGACGATCTGCGTGAGGAGTTCGACTTCCGGTGCGCTCTGATTTTACTGCCACGTTATACAAGCCGAATAGTAAGGCAAACATCGCTTACTCTATTGAAAAAATATTAACATCACCACGGAGCGTTTTACCCGTATATATCGCCGTAAACTGCGGCGCATTTCGCAATAAGCTTGCTGGCACGATTTCCACACACGCTGACCCACTTCCAGGTTCAGAATTACTTTTTCGTACTTTCTTTATTTTTCCTGCTTCCCTATGGCATACAATTGACCGGCCACCGATCGGTAATCAGCTGGTGGGTCTGCAGACCCAGCGGGCGGTCGGTAGCTACCCTATGGGATGGGGCCTCTGTAGGGTTACCAAAGAGTTACCGGCCTTCACCCTACCGAAAGGTTACTTGTGCAGAGTCCTTATAAAACGTAGTTGTCAGCTCGTGACCATCGAAGTGCGCCGAAACCAACCTGCAACTCTGCAACCGCTGAACTAACAAAACGGCCTGCAAAACGGGGCTGCACTATTTTCCCATCTTCAAGTATGATGGCACCCGATAATTGTCCTAGGTATGGAATGTGTGCGGGATGAATGTACTTACAGCTGCAGGCATTGTCAAAGCAGCTAGCTCCGGAAGCTCCAGCAATGATAGCAATAATATATTTTACCACCTTTCCATGTTGACTGCGACTTTAGTCCTGAATCGGCATTTTGACACTAAGGCCGCGGGACCACCCAATCCAGCGGTGAGGGGGCCGAGGGGGAAAGTGAGGGAACCATTACTTTGGACGGTGTTGGCGGAGTAGCTGCCCGTTGCACCGCATCCATGCTTGTCGGTGCAAATGCGAACATCGGCTTTTTAAAGTGTAGCATAAGGGCATACGAACAACTCTGAGCAACATCTTCTGGAAGTTTAGCAGCAGGGACTTCGCTACCTGTCTCACAGGTCGTGTGGGGAATTTCGCGGAGGAGGGTTACGTTTTGATGGAAGTGGTGACCCTCAAATCGCATGCGGCCTTTCTGACGTGTTACGTAGTCTACGTCATTAATCTTCAAGTGGCAACTTTGAGTTTTGCGCTGCATATACTGCCGTTGCGCGGTGGAGGTTTGAAGACGAAGTAATTCTTATCCCGCAACTCGCGGGCGCCTCGCCTATTTGGCAAGCGTGTCCGGCGGATTATTAACATATCGCAACACTTTGCCCAGCACATGTAATATCTGTATATAATTTTTTTCCATTTCAGCTTTATCCGCCCGCTTGCTTTTGGTCGGCTAGAGTTTTGAACCTGTTTGGCGGCTACATGACCATCCCCTGCCTCCATATATGTGCTGGATTCCTAACCTACAAAGCAAGAAAGCAGATGTGGATAAATATTCCTTTAATATCTCAATCCCATTTCAGGGGGAAGCGTCATTTTTTTCTTCGTTGTTCGCACAACTTCCTTGCCTTTCGCTATGCTTTGCTCGTGAAGTCCTGAATTCGCGCGTTGTTGGGAGAAAAATCGCCTTAATGTATGACTTAAACCGTAGCAACTTAAAAATCTCCTAGCGAATGCCAACGAAGAAGGAAGGCCACAAGCATGGCTTAACCTGGACCTGCCTGGACTCGCTGCAAGACAGCCGTACTCCGCTGTATTGTACGCCCTAGGCTTTCAATCTTCCTAAGTCATCCGAGAGGCAATCAACGATGCATCTTCTTTAGGACATGCTCCTCTAATTGATATTCAAATTCCTCCTGCAACATATTGGACACATGCTCGCCGAGTGTTTTTATGTTTACAAAATATAGCTCTTTGGCAAGCCATATAGCTCTTTGGCAAGCCATTTTACTCGAGTTGCCGTCCAGTCGAGCCAAGATACTTTAATATGCCATATGTAGCTGATCTCCTAATCGAGCCATGCATACGCTCCGATGCCTTACCGATGTAGTTGTAGGATAACATATTAGCCAAATCAGCCAATATCGTTGTTCGTTGCCCCTCCTCAATGTCAAACACTTACCGCAGGCTAATCCCATTTTGGATTCACCAATGCTAGTGCCCAATGGCCCTCCCACACACGAATATACATACATACATACATACATTGCCCCTAGGACATCCGGGATCGAGACCTATCATGGTCGGAAATCCTTCCGATGGTGGAAGGTAATGTGCCCTTAGTCGATGGACGGTGGTGACCTGGGATAAAGTTAACCTGCGAGCTGACCAGGAATGGAGTTGGGCCGCCGTCGATCCGCCAGATTCCGTTGGATGCTGGTGGTGGGTGCGGAATCTGAGCGATCCACTGAGAAGTTGACTAGGGTGACTACATGAGGGTGCCCCGAAATACCGGGGAAGGCAGGGGTTTCGCCAGGTAGCAGTCACGGGTGAAGATATGGCCCCCTGTCCCACACATCATATGTGGCGAACACACACAGGGGAACAGGTCCCGCCACAAATCCATCGCACGCGCGCACTGCTACATGTTGCTACTACTACAACACACAAGAAGAGTGATGATGTTATCCCGATGAACCCACCACCAGGGTATGTTACAGCATGAAGTATGGTGTCGTCTGCCGTGTGGCACATGAAGTGCACATTGCGGCGGCTCCGCCAAACGACATGGCTGTGGGCCCTTGTGTCCTGTTTAGGCCCCTTCCTAAGATATGACACCCACTCTTACTTTCCTTCCTAAAGGTCTGGCTCGGGAAAAGAGTCTTGGGGGCACGAGCTGAACGCACGTATGTGCGGCCTTACATGCCCCAAATCAGCGTAGGCTCAGCAGTGCATGGCAAGAATAATATTTAGGATCCATAACGCCCCACGTCACGGCCATGTAGGCCCGATATCGGGGCTTTGCTTAGGAAGGGGGTTAGCTGGAAGACTAAGTCCGTGACAACGTGTGGGATCCGTTGCAGCGCAACCAACCTGTGGCGCTGCTTGGGAAAAATGTGCCTCGACCGTGTTTATGTCCCCGTGAGTCTGTTTAAGCTCAATAAGCTCATTTACGCTCAACTGTACGGCAAGACGGTTTAAGATTTCGTGTGGGGAAGTGGAACCTAACGCTAGGACTCAGAGCTTCATATCCATACATGTAGCCGTAACAAAATAAACCTAATAGCTTTTCTCGTGAGCGTTGGGGAATAAAGTTCCGCTTATGCTGGCGGTCTGCAACCCGTGGATACAACCGTCGGCCGACTGCGTACAATACTAGTGCACACAATGCTCGGATTAATATAACTAAAAATGGTTGTCATACTTGGAATACTCCTTGCGCGGACGTTGTCCGCCTTTGTATGTCAAAGCTGCCGCACGCACCCACTTCCGCAACCGCCATCAACCTTCACACCCATACATTGAGCAGTTGCGTATCGTAACAGTTAATCAAACTTGTCTTATAGTTCTGTGAGGCTACACCAATTGAAGCAGTTCGGCCTTTCCTAATAAGCACGTGTTCCAAGTGATATGAAGTGAGGGACATCGCCTTGTAAGCTACCAAGCTAGTCTGTCATAGATTATGACGCTATGTTTCAACGGCGAAAATGTCGGGCAAGGAATTTTGTCGTCCTGAAAGCTCCTGGTCAAGTCCCTTCCATTGGTTTCAATGCCTATTTGGAAGCTTTGAGGAATTTGTCCTTTTAATTCAAGTTGTACATTCCTGATGCATGCTTGCTTGAAGGGGAAATATGTAAGTTTCGGAGCGGCGTGAAGTACAAGTTCTCAGGGATGACGGACCTACTCCTGCGCATTCTTAGCCAAGAAATGAAGAATTGTTTTACTGGCAAGGCTTGCACGTTGAAGTGTTGACTTATACGAGACGAGAGTTGCTTGCGTTTATCGTTGAAGGTCGTTTCATACAGGATGCGGACACAGAACTCAGTGATGGAATGCCCGCGTAGCATGGTTGGACGAGTTATAGGTGAGAGAGCTACAGCTACCTGCTCTGTGTTCCCGTCGAGTCCGAGGTGTAGAGGCTGTCAGCAGTACACGCAAGCCCCAGGGCGAAGCCTTTTGGCCACAGATTTGCACTCCTTGGCTGTGCGTCGGCTACTAATGAACTGCAGGGAAGAATGGTGAGACTGTCAAGGCGTTGCAGACCTATACCGGCGCCACCATCCAAATAGATCAAAGCGTGGACCCTACGCGCGTGTCAATTTCAGGTGAGCTGCACGCATAATGTGATAGGCTTACGGAAGCGAGCCTGGTGTCCGCAACGGCGTTGTCTGCTTGTCGCATGCTGTTCTGCCGCCCTTCGCTCCTAGTCCGACCCCTGGGCTCCCGTTGTACAGGTGCGGCGTACTCAGTAAACCTCGCTGTAAGCATCGTCACAGATATTATACGGGGTAAGCATGGGGCGGGCAGCTTTCCGTCGCGGGACTAGAAGCCTAACTATTTGAGGTGCCTGTGCGAACTTTTTGTTTAATGGACGTTGCGAACTCATATGTTCTGCATATTGCAGTGACTGTTTTAGGTATGGGCATTTTTGTGTGAGCAATTTGAGGATTTTCTTCGGTCGTGGGGTGGTTTCGCCGGCTTGATACGATACTCATTCCCTGGTATGACACATGTAACTTATAGGGAGCTTTAAGGGATTCGCATTGTTGCGCCAAGCTACTCGCCCGGCAAACGGGCGCAATGGGTATCCTGCGTTTACGGAGCCTCGACCGGTCTATGCACCAGGGTAAGTTGCCTTCGCGTATGTTTTCTGCGTAGCGAAGCATCATTTTCTCATTGTGGTATTGTTTTAGTTCTCGCTGCCATTTGTCAACAATGTTTCCACATCAGTGCACGAGTTACGTTATCTTTTTGTCTCACCTGGGACAGAGGCAAGAGCCCCTGATTCTGGAGCAATTTACACAATTTCTTGTCAATTGATTCGTCAGGTATGGACTTATTCCAGCTTCACAATTGTACGACGATCGCGCTGCTGCGCCACCACCAACCATGGGCGCGCCGTTTACCTTGCGGCCAGCGGACTCGCTTCAGCACGTGTATCCGCTAATGACAACTGGGCTTCCAACGCAAAATGTCTTGGTGAGTAACCTCCCATCGTCGATGCCACTTCTAATTCTTCCAAACAGCCGACAGAAAGCTATCGTTCTACAGCTTTAAAAATTTTCAAATGTTTGGAAGCTCCGCGACTCCGAACTCGCCGCTTCGTTCGGCCTTGCGGCTATGTACAGCGTCTAGGGCCCCCCGTCTTCCCCAGCGTGCTCTTCTTATCAGTTGCTAGCGAAGACCTATTTGCTCTTAATTGTGCGGTCGACAACTTCCTGATTGGAAGCTCAGTATTTTTGCTTGCCTGCATTGATAACCGCCCCAATTTTAAAGGAGTAATCGCTCGTACAGTAGCCCGTCGTGGACCTAATCAGGCAGCCGCGTGCATGCTCTTGGTATCATACCACAGTCGCCTCTCCCCGCCACAACAGCACAGTGTTTTTGAAGGAGACTTAGGACTGCTGCGGAAACTGGTCGTCCTATGGAACGACGTCCCGAATCGCCTGCCACTCCTCCCAAACCCCACTCACGTTCAACCCCCCGCGCCCGCTCCGCTCCCGGGCTGTCCAGGCGCTTCAAACCGACGCCGCGTTGGCCCAGCCCGGGACTATGTCACTCGTCAACGCCCAGTTACAGCAACTGGCGATGCCGGGGCTGGGCAACCCCGGGGGGGATCTGGGCGCGCTCGCAGGTACGATGCCCGGGGGAAAGGGTCGGGTGTGTATTGTGGAGGGGGGAAAGCACGTTTACCAGAGGTAAAGGGTCAATGAGCTACGTAAGGGGCTAGAAATGGACTTGCAGTAGCAGGTTTCTCAACACCTGTTGGGTATGTGTCCTATTTAGGCCCTATTGAGGCCGCGGCTGGGCAGTAGCTATGTGCGCTGGCAGGGGTGTTCTCCGGTGGCAGAAGGGAACTGCAAGATGTGGCTTTTCTGAGTCGCGAAACTGATCCTCATCACCCTAATCACCATCATCATTTATCCCACAACACCGCCGCCAACAACAACTATTTACCGCAGGCGGTGGAATCCCCTATCCAGAGGCGGCCTACATGCCGGCAATGCTGCCTATGGCCGGTGCAGCTGCACACGGTAACCACGGCGGCGTCACTCTGCAGCCGATTGGGGGCTCGGAGGAGTTCGCAATGAGCGCATCGCACAGACTCATCCAGGCGGCTGGAGGCGGCCGAGGCGCCGTACGACCCAAATCCCTGCTCGGCTAAGCGATTGCTGTTGCGCTGCTGCTGTCTTCTTTTCTTCTTCTCCTTTGTGTACGTGTGGGCGGCCTGCGGGCGGTGTGGGTCCATCCAGCTGGGGGTCCCGGAAGGGGGGGGAGAGGCATTCCCGACCTGGGGGTTTAGGGGGGGAAAGACGAACCACAAACGAGTGAAGCTGCTGCCAGGGTAAGAGTGTACCAGACGTAGAACTGACCGAAAGGCGTCCGTGAAGACCGCCTGGGTTTAGGGGTGATGGGGTGATGTTGCGGCGGGGGTGGGGGAGGAGGTGGGGACGTTACGAAAACGAGGTGGGATGCGGGTGTTGTGTTGATGAGGTCCGTTAGAGGGCCTTATGCCCTCTCATGATAGAGTTGCAACCTCCACACACCCCTGCTTACTCCGGTATTCCGTACTTCCCGGCGCGCCCTCTTTCCCTAGAGGTGGCCCCGGTGGTGGTCTCGCTGCAGTGGTGTGTGTCGCTGCAATGGTGTATGTATGTATGTATGTATGTGCGCGGGTCCTTGAGTCTGAGAGTTGTGGGGTTGTTTCAACTTGCCGAACAACCCTCCCCAGCCGGCCCCAGTGGGCACGTCTACGCGCGTACATACATCCATACATTCTGACACACACACACACGGATGCGTGTGTGCATACGTGGCGAACCATGTTGCTGCGGGGTGTTTCGGGGGAGGGGAGGGGACTATAGACTGTGAAGCCGTTCCGCAGTGGTGCAGGTGGGGGGGGGCAGAGGAGGTGTGGAGTCGCGTTTTTCGGTGTTTCTGAAAAGGCAAGCTTAGAGGGGATAGAGGGAGGGATGTGGTGTTGCTATCATCCCTCCTTTCCGCTCTTTTTCCGCTTGCATTGGGTAACCGACGCATTGATTGAGAGGTTGGGACGTTGCGACTGCGGCTTTGGGATGTTGGGCGTGTGTGCGGCGTTATGCAGGGGGAGTACTTGTGCGTGTGAGGGGGGGAAGGGGGGAAGAGGGTGGAAATGTCGGGAGAAGTTGGATGGGGACTGTGGTGGTGGTGGAGGAAGGGCAGGATAGAGCAGGAAGAGGAGGAGCTGAGGACGTGTTGGTTAACGGCGTCTGTATTTCAAGACGCTTTGAGGCGCACGCCCCAGAGCACCTCAGTATGCCGTACGTTGCGTGATGCCGTACGGGTACGAGGAAAAGGTGCTGAGACCGCAAGATATTGGAGAGGGCCGCGGCGGCGAGGTAGTTTGGGTTAGTGTTGAGGAGGAGTGCGAGGAAAGGTTTGTGGTGAGATCCGTACAGAATGCCGTATCTGACGTGCTCAGCGGTGCAGTCGGTGCCTGGTTTCCGGCGCGCCTGTGTCCCCTACACCTTTCTTGGGCTGTCCGCCCTCTTGCATAATTCGGTTTTTTCATTTGGCGAGGCGTATTTAGCACGAAGAGAATGACACAGTAACCAATGACGACGTCGCACAGCAATGTCGACAACAGCAAGAAAACAAATAGCGCATGAGGCTCCAATTTCCTTTGGTGGTCGTGGTGGTGTGTGTAGGTGGCATTTGTGCGTTCGCTGCTGCAATGTGTGCGGCGTCTGTCTGTCTGTCTGTCTGTCCATCACTCAAGTCATGTGGGTACCTTGATTTCACCGCTCGAGGTGTGAATTGTTTTCGGGTCATGCAACCGTACGGCGTTAAGAAAATGAACGGGACACATGGACATTCGCGTTGCCACATTATGCTCTGCTTTTCCCGCCTTTTGTCGGTTATGACCGTTACCACACCTACAACTAATGACTTACTATGTGCTGAATTCTAATTTGGGCATCTCGAAGGGTGTCTCTTTGTTAAATGCAAGCAGAGTATCAATCCATCAATCGATCATGGTTTTTTGGTTTTAGAGCTCTCGTGCACGATGTGGATAATCTGGATCTGGATCTAGATGTGCCCGATGTGGTTTTTTTGGCAACACAGTTTCTGGATCTGGATCTTGCCGTGCATATCCAGACTTGGATTGTACTGCTGATAGTAAAATATGTATCACAATGCGAAAACTAGCACTACAAGACACGTCCTTTCAGTAATGAGGAGAGCGGTAGAGGGGCTTTTCAGTGGCCTAAGTGAATTAGGTAGGTGAGGTGCGCCCCCGGGGGGTGATTTGACCCCACTTTTTTGCTTTCAGCGGAGATACCGGAGATGCGATTATTGTTGTGTGTATGTGTGTGTGTGTGCCGCTCTTCTATGAAAAATTGAGCCCGCTCATGTGTTCCCACACGGGGCAATCGCATGGCGGCAGGCGGGCGGGCATTTGGCATACTTCTCGTCATGCGGGGGCAGGCAGCTACAGCTACTACTACTATTACTACTACTGCTGCTACTACTACTACAGACTGTCGCATATGCGCTGTTGCTGTTAGTGGTGATGATGATGATGATGGCGGCGGCATGGTCTGATCCTTTCGTTACGTTGTTGCAGTTGGTGGTTGTGTTAGTTGTCCTTGAGGAATATGAGAGGGAAAGTGTGTGCCTCAGAAGCAGAAAAGCAGCCGATGTGGGCAGGAAAGGCGAAACATTGGTCGTTGTTGTTGTTGTCGTTCAACTGGATTCTTTCTACCTTACACATAAAGGAGAAGGGCTGCCCAGCGTTTTGTGAGGACTGTGTCCACTCTTCACGGTCCCCACTTGTGAATGTTGTTATCAGGGTTGCCATTGTTATTGTGTCGCGCCGCCGCCTTCTGCCGTCGAAACTCTTAGGGCGTGGAAGCAAAAAATCATCAGCGTCATCACCACCCTGTGTCCCTTGATGTCGTACGGCCCTGTGCACTTGCTAAATGCAAAAAAATTAAGATGGAAGACTGCTGGAATGAGACTGTGTTCATCGAATGGCTTATCGCTGCCGTACGGCGGCACATGTCACCACGCAGTTGTGTACTCACACTGACGTTGCTACTGCCACCCGGTGGGTCTTATTGCTACTGCCAACCGCTACTACTGTTTGCAAAAAATTTGCTGAAACATGGATGATTTGTTTTTAAGCTCAAAGTGGGGGAGACGTGTTGGCAGGCATGTTCCGAAGTGTCTTAGTGGTGCCTATAATGCTCGAGATTGCTCTTTTTGTACGTGAGAATGGCTGGCAGACAGACAGACAGATGGGCTGGCGGGCGGGCGGGCGTGTTTGCATGTTGTGCTGTCCGATTGCGAATCTCACCCCTGGAGTTCCTTTTTTTGCCTTTACCAACATAAACGATAAATAAACAACTCGCCGACATGGAGTAAATCGCGAGGCTGCACATGTGGTTCATTATGCGCATATCTGTCTGTATGTCTGTACTTGGTGCGCATTGTTGTTGTCAACGGAGTCCTAAATACCTGCAGCGCGCTGGCGTCACTCAGCCCTCTGAATTCCAAAAACTGAAACTCGTTGCTCCCACCATCGCATTGGTCGGTATGTGGCGTATGCAGACACCCCCGGACGCCTCTGCAGTCCCACCCTGTTCTGTTTTGTGCGGGATGCGTGTCTGTCTGTATGTCTGTGCGTTCCTGCGTGTCCTCCCTTGTACGCGGAGCTTCTAAGGACCAGAGGAGGGGGAGGGGCGCTGTTCCGCCATGCATTGGCTATATTTTTGGAATATAGCCCCCGGCTGCACCGCCCAGTGTCGTACGTTGTACATCAAACGAGAGCATTCTTGAGGTTTATGGCGGCCTTGTGGTATCTTAGATACCACTGATCTGGGCCGAGCAGAAGCATCGTCCATGCGCTCCGTACTTCTGTGCGCTTTTCGGTGTTATGCTGGCTATGGCTATCGCTATCGGCACGTCACATATCGCCAAGTGTGTTATCTGCCATTGCGGCTTGTGTGACGACTTCATTCAAAAACGTTTGTTGCGGCCGTGTGGTGTTTTATTGGTGGTGATCGCAGCATGGCGTGGTGTGGTGTTGTGGGGTGAGGGACATCCATCTATCACGAGCGCGTCGGTGCGCTCAGAGAACGGAGAACGGGCGCTACGGCAATATAATTCGACACAGCGCAACATTTCGTGTCGTGCCTGAAGATTAATATTATAAAGGAAACCTATATATCTCCTCTCTTGTCGCTCTGTCTTCTTCTGTTGTTCTGTTACGGGAACGGTGCGACTTGTCCTTGCACTGCTCTTGGGGGTGGGAGCCCTGAGGGGTTAGGAAATGCGGCTGACGCGGGCGAATGAGGTTTCGAGGCCCTGGGTAGTGGAGGTGAAGTTGCGATGCAGTTTGTACTGGGCTCTGGGGTACCAGGAACGAGTGTTCCTCGTAAACGGCACGGCTCCTCGTAAACCCGGTGAGGTGTGGGGTCGAGGTGAGGTGAGGTGAGCGGGGACGCAGGCGCGCTTGTCGGTACGTATGTCGGTGAGTGTCCTTCAGTAAGTGCTTCACGACAGTAGGGAGCGTTGCCTAATGCACGTGTGTGGGGGGGGTGTATTAATGCGCTTTGCGCGGACCCGCGCGCCCCCCTTGCCTTGCAGTATACCGCACGCGCCAGGCCATGAAGGCAAACAAAAAAGTTGCAGAGACTTCGCGTCATATTAGCTGTGCGCTTCCGCGTCTGTTTCGGACTTCACCCCAGATGTTTGTCTGTCTATCTGTCTGTCTATCTGTGAGTCTGATTTATCAAGGCAATCAAGGTCACCTACTTAGGGTTTTGCATCGTTTTGCTGTACTTCACCCTGCCGTTGGAATGTGCTGTTAGTTTAAGGAAAGGAAGGCGCGCAGGGTGGGGCGAGGTCATGTAGGACGTATGAACGATCTGTGAGCTGAATAATGTCATCTGGGGTGAGAATGATCGGAGGCCATGTACGGGATTAGGTACCTAAGAAGAAGACTGATTAGTCGTCGGTCCTCAAGCCGGCGATCACGGCACCGTGACGTGTGTTGTGTACGCAGTACCGGGCTGTTTGCCCCCCCCGAGGAAGGATAGGGGTGCGACAGGAGCTGGAGGCACGGTAATAGGCCGGCAGCGTATAGATTGAAGCTGAGCTGGGTTAGGCTGAGCTGCGAACTGTTTCTTGTTTCACACGGTAAAGAGGCGCCGCCGGGCGTTCCAGCGTAGGTCCGTGGTCAAATGCCGCGAGACGCAGAGATCCTCCTTGCGGGCTGGTGGCCAGCTTTTCAGACTATAGAATTATGTCAGCGTTTGGGACGTTTTCCATACTTGGTTTCGGAGGAAGTTAAGAGCGTATGAGCAAAGTCGCGCTTTTTGAATCCTGTTATCTGCATGCCAGGAATAGGACAAGACAAGGAGTGAAAACTTTTCGGGGGCCCGTTAATTTGCTTTGCATATCGGAACTGGCTTACAATTTCCTATTTCGTTTCCATGTCGTTTCTCTTTACCAACCTAAGGCCATTCTGTGCTGTGAGAATGGCTTCATGTGCTCCCCCTGGAGCACTGCGATGTGAATGACTGTCGTGGAAATGTTGCATGTCATCGGGTTTATCTTCGCCTCTTATGTTAAAATAAATGGATGGACACGGCTCTCATTTGCACGATGATGCACAACGCGGACGGTATGTGAACCGGTACCGCAGCACTGCTCCGGAGAAATATCTCTCGCGAAGGCTTTTACGGTTTCCGCAAGTTGATGACCTAAAGGCATAGAACCTATAGGTTGCTAACTTGCAGATTGAAAGAAGATCTCAAGACACCGTAGATTTGTGGCTTCAGCAAAGGACATCATCTTCTTTCCATCGGGCATCAGTGAAAAGGCGGCCCCCATAGCACACGCGGCTTGCGGCGCTACGGCAGAAGAAAGCCTCTTTGCCGACTTGATGAATCATGCTATAGGTGTACCTGGGCGGAAGGGATTTAACTGCCCCATAGTACAAAGCCCCAACTGGGTTAATGTAAAGCCCCCTTAAAAACATGTTTGTATGTAGACGGACATCCCTATAGCATAACTTGCTTGCAAGATCTCTAGATGCTGACTCTTCTCTACACGTGTATGAGTAGAGAGGAAGCCGGTTCCTGTAACGAAGAATTGTGGTTTTACTCGGTAGTTGTCGGTTAGTGCTTGTACGGTATCCATCCGAGAGAAGCGGGAAGGGCTTTGCTGCCACTGTGAAGTCATCTCGGCCGGCAGAGATCTCTGTCGAGGCGGCCTTTTTGCAGTCAGTCAAGAGCACTGCGTCGTGAGATCAATGCAGGGAGGACTGGGAAATCGGAGTGATGAAGGTTGCCAGATTGCAAATGCCGATTGGTCCAAAAGGATCAAGCAGATGAACTGATATCTCGTTTCTTGTGCAAGGTGGTGAAGAAATCGTGCCTCGAGCTGTATTGTCGATACATTGCGGCTGAAGATGGCTGCCAGGTCTGCTTTTAGAGTTTTCACCGTACGGAGAGGAACAAGAACCGGTGTAATAAGGTTAAGGCAGATTGGGAAGCAATAGTTGGGTTCCTCTTAGTAGCAGTATAGTCAGCCCCTCCCAACCACGTCGCTTCCACCCAGCACTCCATTCCAAGATGACGATATCCAGCTGCCTTGATAGCTGCCGAGGCTGCCCACGTCCACGTGTGTGTCCCAGGGCATCTGGACGCTGATGAGGTTCTTGATGCAGTCAAACTGCACTTATCCGCCACTCGCGTAATGCAACTGAAGGTGTAATTGTCACACGCAGACACACACACACTCTGTCTGTCTCTCTCTCTTATCCGCCAAACCACGCCCATCATCCACACCCACTACGCCACGACATGCTCAACGCGTCCAACCATCATAAAGATGAACTACGATGAACGCGGGATATATATCCACAGAGATATATCCGGTGCCGCGGCAAAACGCTATAAATGCAATCTTCCTCTTCCTCACGACGAGCCGCTGGAGCCCGCAATGTAGCCCCAGAAACCGCCTCCCTTCTTGGAGGCGGCCTCCTTCTCCGCCGCCTCGCGGGCAGCCCGCCGGTACTTTTCCATCTCCCGCTCCAGCTCACCCAGCTGCCCCAGCTTAGCCTGCGCGGCGTTTGAAGTGGGGGAGGATCCAGCACAGCCGTATATGCGTGTGTTACACCTCCTCGTGGGGGTTGCGTTACTGCCCAAATAAAAGGTGCAACGAGCCCATACGGGCCGGAGGTCCAAGGGCCAGGGGGCCGACGGGAATTGCCAGCTTCCGCCGGTCATCCGCTACCTCCATATCCTTCATAGCCTGTTCCACCTGAAACCCGACAAAAAGCCCGCGCATGAGCTGTATACATGCTGGGCAGCACAAAAGTACGTGCTTTTGCTGCCAAAACTTGCTTATCCAGATCTAGACCCAAGTCCAGTTCCAGACCCGCGCACCTGCAGCTCCGCCACCTGGGCCTCCAATTTAAGAACCTTGGACTGCTCCGCGCTCAGATTGCTCCGGGTGTCCTCAAGAGCCTGCGAACAAGAACATGAACAACACATCAAGCCGGAGAAAGTGCTCTACGAAACCCCCCAAACGTGAAGACTGGAGACGGCAGCTTATCACCCCTACCACCCAGGGCAATACGCCTAAGGAAAGCGCACTGCGAATGGGCCCCTGCAAGATTATGGCCTCGCAGCAGGAGCTCGGCTGAGATTCGGCCGATCCCATATTCTGGCGCGGCGGTGTGGGCATAAGCATGGGCTGCCGTCTCGGTAACAACACCCAGGCCTTCTTGCATCCCAGATGATGTGACCCGGGTGCTGCATTGCAATCACCTTGTTTGACTCAGCCAGTGACGCCTGTGCGGCCGTCAGCTGCTTGCGCAGCAGCGCCAGCTCATGCGCAGCGCTCTCCTTAGCCGCCGCCGATTCCCGGATCGCTGTCTCCGCTTCGCTCCGTGCGCCCTCCAGCTGCGCCCTAAGCTCCGAAACCTGTAGCCGCAGCTCTGCCAGCGGGTCCGCAGGTAGCGGCGGCGGCGTAGCCGCCGCCGCTGGTTCCGCGGCGGTCTTCTTGGTCGCCTGCGCCTCCGCCGCCGGCACCTCCGCCGCCGCTGAGCCATCAGGAGCGCCACCATTCGCCAGCTTAGCCTTTGCCTCCTCCACTGCCTCCGCCGCCGCAGCCAGCGTTCCAGCCAGCAGCGCCGCTGAGCCCTCCGGCGCCCGGAAGAGGTTGACGGTGTTCTGGTATTTACCGTTATAACCGCCAAACGCCACCAGGACCCGATCCGACGGTAGTACGACAAGGCTGATGCCCTCGCTGCTGAGCGGGTCACGCAGCGCCACCTGGCGGTACCCAACCACAAGAAAGCCGTCGCGCCGGATAAGATGCGATCCAGGAGTGTCGGGAACAAAAGCGCAAATCGCACAGCACAAAGCTGCACAAAGCAAAACCACACTAGCAATGAATGAGACCAGCTAATGGCATGCGAGGGGTGACCGAGGAGACATACATTAAAGCTACCAAGCAACCAACCAATCCCCTAGGAAAAAACAGGGCGCCGTGAACGTCGTGAACGTCGTTCACACAACCCATAACCGCACCGTCGCAGCCAGAAACGCCCACCATGATGGAAGGTGCAGTGTGGCGTTCACTAACCCCCATATCTTCTTCCGTTAGGATTTTCTTTCCTTAGGTTCAAGGCACTTACTGAGGTCACAACGTGCCAGGTAACGGTCCCCGAGGCCGGAAGCCCCGACAAGTCCGCTGCCAGCAGGTCCGTGCAACCCTTGACGTTGTTGCCGCCGCCCACAATATACCAGATGCCGCCCAGTACGGCGCCCGCGTGCCCCGCACGGGGAGTCACCTTGGCACCCGCCTGGACCGGGGTAGCGCGGGAGGTACATCCAGGAGTGGGATGGGGAGGAGAGTGAGGTAAGAGATGGGTGGGAATCATATGCAAGAAACTCAGGAATGAAGGAAGAGAGGGCTGGAGGACCCGCTTTCCGAGAAAACCTCCGCTTCTTGCGACCAACCCACCCACCTTGCCTTTTTTTACTGCCCTAACCGCACCACGTCCACGCTCCCATTAATGATTAATTATTTGCGCACTTTCGCGCCCTCAGCCCTCCCCAATATTCGCATATTCCCCCATTTCGCGTCCGCATGAATGTTCGTTATTTTAACTCGTTTCGCGCACCTGCGCCAGCTGTGTCCACGTCAGCTCATGAGTGTCCAGCATGTGCAAGTCACTGAAGCAAGTGGCGACGGAGCCACCTATCACGGAGTAGAGGTGCGGGTGGGCGGGCGGGTGGGAAATCAGGCAGATGGGGAAGTGCAAAGGTGAGAGGAGCAGACTGGAGGGTGAATGGAACAGCAGGTAGGGCGGGGGGGTGGGAAATCAGGCAGGTGGGGGAGTGCAAAGGTGAGAGGAGCAGACTGGAGGATGAACGAAACAGCAGCTAGGGCGGGTAGGACCGGGCCACAGATCCGCATAGCGGTCTGCCTAGCTCGCCGTTGGAAAGGACCGCGTTCCTGGTTCCACCATCCCCGCGTTTGAGGGAACTCTGGGCTCCTCTTCGCCTCTTTCTCTTCTTACTTCTGCTCCTCCTTTACGACATATATACAAATATACATACATGCATGCATACATGCATACATACATACATACATACACACCTCCGAATATGACGATGTAGCGGTCCTGATGCGCCGTCGCGCAGGACGCTGAGCGACCGAGTGGCGCCTTGCCGCTGATCTGCAATGTGCGAAAGAGCGACGCACGGGCGACGATAACGGCGTGTGAGAGGGTAAAAGGATAAAAAGGATAAAAAGGCCAACGAACCAACACGATATGAGAAAGGTATATAAAGAGAAACTCCCACCCCAGGCGGGAAGAGGTTCTGGAATACGTGTGGACATAGGACCCACAATGGTATGGAACAACGACCATACCCTGCCCTAGAGGCTGGCGCAACTAGGCAGGCAGACAGAAAAATAGCCAGGCAGGCAGGCAGGCAGACAGACAGGTCTAGAAGTTCCTCCTTCCCTTCCTCCGTTGCCCTCCGCTCGCCTCTCGTCCTACCACGCCCCTACCTCAGGGGTGCTCCAGGAGAGGGTGTCCAGATCCAGGACGTGCACATCAGATAAGGCCCTCCGGGCGCTATCCTCCCCGCCGATAACCCAGAGCTTGTTACCGAGCAACGTGGCCTGCGTAGCATTGTGTGCACCGGGGGTGACCAACAAAACCAACAGGTATGAATGGCCGGGGTTGTCTACGCCCAACCGACACGGGCACGTAAACGCTGAAATAAAGCTGAGAGCACCCCTATTTTTAACTACCACGCATACAGGTGCGTACGGTTCCCATGACCAGAGAGAACCAGCGAAAGAGAATCAGCGTGTAACGGTGCACTCTCCGTGTGTGCGAAGGGTGGCAAAAACGGAATGGAAAACATAGAATGGAACCATACGGATGACGGAAACATGCGAGTGGCGCATATCGCCGACAACGGAAACAACGCTTTCGCCCAAGCCCATCTTGACGGCGAGTCCTGATGCAGATGCAGTCCTGAAATGTAACGATGCATGTGCATCACGGACACGGAGGGCGTTTCTCCCCCTCCCCCACACTCCACTCACGGTGTGGCCGCCGCGTGCTGAAGGCGCCTGGCCAGACGTCACCGGCTCAGCGACGGTGGACGCTGCGGGATCCAACACGCGCAAGACCATCGCCGCGTCACCCTTGGCCTGCAGGCAGGTTGCACAATCAGCGGAGAGCGGGGTGGGTGGGGTGATGCCTTACGCGGTGAGAAGCAAAGACGAGGACTACATGGCGACTCGGAGAGGGTTGGGTAGAAGGAAGTAACACCGGGCTGTGGACCTAGCTGGCGGTAAGCCGTGTCGTCTATGGTCGTGACGCCGGGGTGTGTTCCCCCCTTTCCCTCTTCCGCTCCCATCCATCCACCCATCCATCCACCCATCCACCCAATCACCGACCCATCCGTTCACCCATTCATCCACCCATCCATCCACCCATTCACCGACCCATCCGTTCACCCATTCATCCACCCATCCACAAGCACACCTCCGCGCACCTTCGTGTGTCCGCCGAGAACGTACAGCTTTCCATTCCAGACCGTAACCGTGTGACCAGCGGTGGGCGGGAACGCGGCCGCTGCAGCCGCGGGGTCCGCGCCGGTCCCCGCCGCGGGCTGCAGCTGCAGCGGCGACCAGGTGCCGGCCGCAAGATCCAAGGCCCACAGGTCTGACAAGTAGCGCCCACCTGTAGTCAATGTGCGGCCAAGGGCCCAATGAAACATAGCGCGCCAGCTCTCAATAAACGACCGGGAAAAAACGATTATCATACTATGACAAGGCGTGTCGTACATGCCACGTCGTACACTCCATTATGACAGGATAAGGTTCCATGCCCCAAGTATTCTTCCAAACATCCTCAACAATCCGCGGGTGGTCTTCCCTCGATATGCTCATGTACGAGGGCATTCTGGGTGTTTCCGCATGAGACACTGCGCTGCCGCTTTCGCACACATCCATCCTGTTGCTCGGCACCCAGGAACCGCCACGTCCCGGACACAGCAGTACTGCACGTAAAGATGCTCTACAAGGAGCTGTCCTGTTCTCGTCCTCACCGTAGTTTCCGCCCAGCACGTACATGTTGCCGCCCAGCACAGCTGCCGCCGACTCGTATCGGGGCATCGGCCGCTTGCCGGCCTCGGTCGCCGCCTCCAAATGTGTCCACAGTCCCAAGAGGGCGCGCTGGGCGACCGTGCGGGTTGGGGCGGGGGCGGCCGCTGCAGCTACTGTGGGGATGTCCAGAAAGGAACAGACAGACACACACACACACGCAGAGACACCCCGATCATCCCAGACATCAGGAACGGAGCGAGACGCCAAGGGGATAAGCGACGCCAGATCAGGAAACTGGGTTGCTGCGTCTACAAGCCGTGCCCTTATACGCCTCCTATCACGCTACATGCCGATACGCGGCCAATACTTCCACACGCCGTCCGCTTTGTACCTGCCTGGTTGTGAGCGGGCAAGGCCGTCCCGCCTTTCCCAAACATTCAATGTTGCCAACGCCCCTGCTCCTTCTAAACACCCCTTCCCGCACCTCTGGGCAATTGACTGTGCGCCCGGGATAGTTTTCCATTTGGGTCATAAGCCCATATGCCTCGCTGTGACAGGCTTGGAAAATGCCTATCGGCTCAACCTAGGTAGCCATCTGGGTCGCAGCCGCTATGGGCCACACGCGCTCTTGCAAGAAGGAAGTCATGAACCCGGACCCACCAGGACCTTCGGAGTCCGCCTTAGCCTCGTTCTGCTCCAGCAGCACCCACCAGTCGGGCTGCGGGCAGGGGGAGGCGCGACAGTTGGGGCAAGGCGCAATGATGGGGGCTTGAACATTCATGAGGACCACATGCGCTGACTTGCGCCCGCACCACACGTGCACCACCGTGCTGGACGCTCTGTATGTGACACGGTGACACGGATGTCAACAGCTCCCTATTTCCTGTTTACATCGAAATCCGTTTAGGATCGTAATGCGTATTACTAGGGATCTTGACTAGGGAACTGTGTTGAAACGGGGCTCATGCCTGGTGGCAGCCTTCTCCCGTCTCTGCTTTGATTCGGAGCCCACGCAGGGAAAGCACTCGGTAACGTAGCACTCGAGCCCTCGTGTTGGCACGCCTCGCGGAGTCGTCATCACCTCCCCTTTAGGTTACACTTGCAACAAGGCCTGTCGGGGTCGTGCCTGCCCCTGCTCTCCGATTTAAGTGGCGGGGGTCTCTATGGCGGCTCCGGACAAGTGCCTCCGGGCCTGTGCCTACTAACCTGTTCGTCGTCAAGGGTTCTGACGAACAACCGCATAGCCTCCATAGTTGTCATATTTCCGAGCTCTTTCCAGCCCTGCCATTTCGTGGACTCGACCACGTTCCAGCCCCACTGCGCAGGGCCAAGCCAAGAGGCGCAGCACCGGGTGCTATCCTCAACTTGGTACTTCAACCAACAAAAATCGCTTAATCGTGCAAGTGATAAACCATTTCAGGAACGATACAGAAGCGTAATAGGAGCCGGGGGCCTTTCTGGACCAACGCAAGCGGGTTAGCGGTTGGAGCCGGTGGAGAGTCAAACCGTACCGGACGTGCTGTAGTGTTCGGTCCCACGGTTGCTTGCTGGTTGAGGGCGTACAGGAGAAGCTGGTTCTCCTGTGACAGGGTTTTGGCTCCTGCGAAGTCGGTTGGATGCAGGTCGGTCGTGCGCAACAGTACTCCTCGAACGCAGGATAGCTGGCTTACATACCCACCTGCCAGACGGAGTTTCCAAAATTTTGCGGCAGCATGGAACTTGTCCGGATAGGCAAGGGGACACTGCTGGGTGGTCATGATCGCGGTTGTTCCTGTTTCCCGCACGTTGCGCGATCAGAAGCAGAGCAAGGACTAGATGCTGGATAGAATCTGATGAAAAGCTTGCGGCTGTTATCCTGTCAAACTTGCAAGTCCGGCAGACGGATGAAGCTACAGAACCAGAAGTCAGGCAGGCCAAGCCTTGCTGCTATAGCACAGGGTATGGTGCTTGACGCTCTGAGCAGCCCCCTATGTCAAGATGAAAATCGATAACTATGTGATTGCAGGCATCGACCGAAAATGCAGCTGTCGTGCATGCCGTTCCAGCGGAAACGTATAGGTCTGTTACAACATCCTGCGTAGTGTTGCTGTGTTGTTCGCGAGTCCCAGTTTTATTTTCTCTACTAAGCAGACGTGCATATTCAGCGAACACAATTATGCTGTGCTGCAAATGGACCACTCCACGGGCGCACGCTAGATCGAACCGCTCTAGCTGCAATCCAAGCAGATTTCGTTGCAGAGCATCTGGCCCATCTGGTCCCTTGGACGGCGCCCAAGAACCGGATACAGCTCAACCATCACCTCAAGCCGCCGCGTCGCAAATCCCTCTGTCTAGCGCGATCAGTCGCAGTCTTACAGGTAACGAGGGTGGTTGAAGAAATGCACGTAGCTGAATCTCTTGGCGTCGGCGCAGAACCAAAGGTGCCGTAGCTCCGTGACTTGTAGCGTCAGACCTCTGCTTGAGAGTTTGCCAAGGGCTGGCGAAGTGGTCAAATAGCAGCCACTTCAAGTCGTAAATGTTTCCCTTAAGGCTTCATACCGTCGGGCCTAGGGCTTTTACCGACATGTCGTCGTCGACTATCGATATCGCAACACATGCTGGAAAGTGACGAAATCCCCTTCACTGTCCTCCTTTCTTGACAAGATTGGTCTCTCGCTGCGATCTTATGAAAGACACGCCCATCCGGGCACCTCTCCCCCCAACAGAGCTTTCGAAAGGCAGCAATCGGCTGTCCAACTCCACGAACTTGCTGCTTTGCGGCGAGTCGGAAGAGACGTGGAGGCGTCTGGACAGCAAGGCAAGTGACATCCGGATCGTCTGGATTGTTTGCTGGCGCAAGTGTTGGCCCGCCACCGTCTCTTAGCACCGCCACCCCTTCAAGCAGTCGATGCAACACGAAGCATCTACTTCATAGAACCCGGGATTGCCGTGCCTATTAGTGTAGATACCATTCGCATCGTGCTACCAGGCGGTCACCCTCAATAGCTAACAGCTCCCTCGATGCCAGTTTCACACGTACATGCTTGCACATCTGTCTTACGCTATTGGGTCTTACGTTATTGGGGACTGCGCATCCCCCGATTAGAGTCGGCAAACATGCCTATACGAGGCTGGGGTTGGCTCGATGGACTCTTTGAACCTGGCGCTGGCGGCGCTACCGCGGACTGGTAGAGCTCCGTAGGGGTGTGCATCTGCAGGGCTCTTCGGCATCCTGGCTTACTGTGCCCCAATATGCCTTCTGTTAACCAGCGGCAGCAGCAGCAGCAGCACCGGCCAGTAGCTACGGACGCCCCACACAGCGCTCTCCACTGCCCCATGGCAATGTCATTCCAGGGTGCGCATCCTGTCAGCGCCTCCATGTCGGGTTCGTCGCGCCTTACGTCTGCTCGTGGATGTGTTTTGTGGAGGTTATCCAGGGGGCGACCCATATCATGTAGTGCATGTGCGCCATGCCGCTGAGGTGGCATATCTTATCTTTACTTGCACTGCAGGTGAACAAGTATCCGATTCAGCGAAGCTTTACAGCCATTGGAACTGGAGGCCAGGACTTCCGAGCAGCTATGGTGAGCTGGGGGACGGATGAGTTTATGGATGGATGGATGAATGGATGGATGGTGCGATTGGGTAGGGCTATTGACAGGTGGCCGATTGTGGCCCCAACGAATAGCACACGGCAGCGAATAGCACGTGCTGGCGCCTACAACAGGATACAGTCAACCTAATCCCCCCCTTGCCTTCCCTCGCGCGCGGGGTTTGCATCTTTCAAGCCGCAAAGGGGAGGGCCTTGGATTTCGTTACCGCCGCCTGTGTCTGTTTGTCTGTCTGTCCTGTTTTACAAGCCGAAACCCGAGCACAGGAGCTTTGATGTTTCATCCCTCTTTGGTTGTTTCCACGACCCCTGGCGGTTTGGGTGCTATGCAGCTTGGAACGTCCGAAAGGGTTGTTGCTGCAATCTAGCAATTACCACCACTCCCTTTCCATGGTTTGCCGCTTTCCCACGTTTTTTTTGCGGGTGTGACCAGGTGGCGGCGGTGGAGAGCGTCGTGGGTTCGGTTCACACGGAGTGCATTTCGGAGCGGCATTCCAGCGGGCGGAACTACATCAGCGTGACTGTGGGGCCCGTGTGGGTGGAGAACGGCGACCAGGTGTGTGTGAAGGGTAGGGTGAAGGGTGGTGTGGGGGTGTGTAGGAGGTTATTTTAGTGAACTTAGGCGCGGGCAGGAACTTGCACGAGGGGGAGGGGGAGGAGGACGGTACCTCTGAAATACCTTTACAGCCCTGTCTTGGGTGTGTCTCTGCGAGGGAGAGGGAGAGGAAGAGATGTTCATGCGATGATTATGGTCCTAGGATAGACATACTTTACCAAGCAGGCGAAAGGGGGAAAGCAGCGGGAGGTGGGTTACCGATGGATGAACATGAAATGAATTCCCCCGGTGGCGTTGTCACCCAGTCGTCTAGAGCCGCCTGGTGGTGACAATAATGCAAGCAGGTGATGCTAGCTAGCGCAATCAACAAAAGGCTATAATGATATTATATTATACGCAAGACGAGAAAATGGCAAACGGAAATGGCACACACCGAAGGTACAAATAGACAGGCAGATGAGGGAGAAAATGAAGGTGATTTTGCAGGTGAAATGCCCGTGGATTTCCTTTCCTTTCAGTAAAAGGGAATCTGCAAACGAAACTGCTTTTGCTCTGGCGTTGTTAAGAGCACCCAGTAAGCAGTGACCAGCGAGTGCAGCGAGTTGCACAGTCGAGCTCAATGGGCTCGAGTGGTAAAAGCGTGCGCGGTAAACAAAGGTTGGCTTAGTTATCCAGTCGTACGACTGAGACGGCTAGGGCATCACGCACAGGCCGCTGGGAGGATCTGGGATGGCATGCAGCAACGGAATCGAACTAACTAACAAAATGAAAGGATGGAGAGTTTTAAGGTTGTTTGGAAGAGTTGTCAAACAGACCCATCAAACCCGTCCATGTGCGGATTGTATCGAGCTAATCACACGTATATGATGTCAAGCCGGTTGCCGCCTGGCGCACCTGGCGGGCAGCACGTGTGCATGTCTGTGTTGCACATGTAGAGAGTTGCACATGTAGAGAGTTGCACATGTAGAGAGTTGCACATGTAGAGAGAAAAAGATAGGATGGGCCTTTAAGGTTCTCACATGCGGGCGCACGCCTGCAACGAAGGCGCAGCATATAGGGTAAATTCCCCTGCTCCACTTCCTGTGCCGCCTGCTTCGCCGCCGACGACAAAAGGCCGAGTACGCTGTAAAGTACCGGTATTTTGACGGTTGTGCCAGTTAACAAATCACTTAACTCGTCCCTTGATAAAAGAGAGCGGGTGTGAATCCTTGCCTTGTGTGGTGGCGGCTAGATAGAGCTGCTACGTAAGCTACTTTTTAACTCCTCACTCCTGCCTTGCTTTCCGCATGTGCGTGTACATTCGCGTGTGCATATGAACGCAGATCATCCAGGTTTATGCCAACATGAAGAATGACTCTCGTGCGCGGTGGATTATTTGAGAGCCATGGACGGTCAGTAGCCGTTATTTCTGTGTGGCTGTGTCGGGTGAGGGTAGGGCGTTGTCTTTGACGTCCTCCTCCCGCTCTCGCCGGGTGGGCTCGGCGCGCACATGCTGAGCGCGGCGTGATGTGCTTCCTGGTCCGCCTCCGTTACAAAATGGGAAAGGTCGCCTCTTTCTGATGCTCTGACGGAGTGCGTGTATGGTTGGTATTAGAGCTGAGAATGCCACCGGCACTTGTGAGAAGTCTGCGACGGAAGACCCTCTCCTCGATCGGGGGCGGCGTGGAGGGAGCCCTTCATCCATCCCTGTGGGCGTGGACGCTGGTGCGCAGCGCGCTGCTAACATCTCGGGTGGTGGCTGACGGACGATGCCTGCAGTTGTTTGGTTTCGTGTCTGCAGGAGGGGAGGGATGTGAACGGGGCGGGAATGGAGTGGATTGGTTTGGCTTAGCTCCAGGATGGACTGCTGGATTGTGAAGAAAACAGTGGCTTGGCTAGGCTAGGTGACTGAGGTCCTTGCTTCCCTTCAATCTTATTTACCGCACGTATGTATTTGTGTTTTTTTGTCGTGGATGGCTTGGGACTTCGGGATTGCGGAAGGGCGGTCTACGGAGGTGTCCATGCACATGTGTGTGTGTGTGTGTGTACATAATCGGTGAATTTGCAGCTCTCATTGATACACGATACTCATCGATACACGACCGTCGAGTGTCGAAGTGGTTGGTGGAAATGCGATTGTTACATTGTGGACCCCGATCGGGTCGAGTGCTCAGCTTTGTAAAGTATGGAACGATTCCCTTTTTGTTATTGGTGTGCTATAGCCCTGTCGGTCGTGGCATGGCATCACTTGTGACGAAGGTTTTTGGGCACCATGTTTCGAACCGCGTGTTTGGCGTGCTCCTGGACACACTCAAAATATCCCTTTAATATCCCTCATGGCCTGGTGGACGCCGCGTTTTTGTGCGATGTTGGCTTCTGGCAACCGCTCTGGTTGATTAACGCTGCTAGAGAGAAGTAACATATATATATATATATATGTTACTTCTATATATATATATATCGTTACCTGCTATCTTGGCGCTTTGGCTTGCATGACGGATAAGCAAGTATGGCGAGTTACTTCGCGGCGGCTTACATGTAACGTTCTTTGAGCCTATTTAAGGCCCCCTCCACTTGACTTTCTGGTGCGACTGAAATACCCCGAATGACGGGTTGTGAGCCGTCATAACGACTGCTCACCGACGGAAGTACGGCAAAGCGCAATAGATAGAGCGAGGTCCCGATGGCGAATAGCGAATTACACAGACGAATAGTAACGAATAAGCGTAAGAGAGCAATTTAACGGCTCATGTTCGGTACATTACACCGGTTGGTGGATGCATGGGCGGCCGTCAGGTTGGCGATGGGACGGGGCCGGACGGGGTGGGACGAGGATTGGACTGGGGATTGCGGCCTGTGGACCGGGGATGTCGGTTTTGAATTTGAGATGTGGTTTGTAATGAGCTTGAAAAGACGCGTGACTGATGTGCATCGTGCAGGCTGGCGGCCTGCCGTCTGTCATGGGCCGCGCGGCCTCCATGAGCATAAGCCATGGCTCCTCCTAATCTCCACTGCAACAAAAAAGTGCATTCTGTACCTGTACTTGTGCAACATGAGCCCATATCTAAGTTTGACTGGGCATCGAGTGGCATCAGACAGAGAGCTGGAAGAAGCATGTATATAAATACTGCTACCGTTTGTAGCGTGTCAAGGGTAACCGAAAAATATATTTAGGGTGCAGTTATTACAACGAGTACAGGTAACGAACCCACATCACTGCCCACATCAGTCTGGAGCCTACTGAACCAACTAAACACACCGGCTATACATAACGCTATCGTTTGATAAGCAACCAACCTATACCCCAGGGCACGTACTCCCACGTCTGTAATTTTTCCACGTGACTATAGACGAACTATTTTGAGTTTTAGACGGCTCGTCTATAGAAGAGTTTTTTAGACGATATAGACGACCGTCTAATAGACGACCCATAGACGACCGTCTATACCCAGTCGTCTATAGACAGGCAGCAAATAAGCACGGAGCCGCGCATTCGCAAGTACCAAAAGACCACAAATTCCCATGCCTTCAAGCAAAAGAAAGGGCACAGCGTAAGGCCGGACTCCCGGACAGGGTGCAAGGACGAGAAGATGGGCAGGGATGCATGCTACTGACCTGGCTGGTGCACGCTGACAGGTGGAAATCTTCCTAACAAGACTGCCCATGTATACTTACTTAGGCAGGTGGCTGGCAGAGGTTAAGGCCTGACTTCTGCTCCCGGAGTGTCCGGATTCAAATCCGCCTGCCGACCCCTCGGCTGTTTGAGGGGTGGCCCCCCATCTTGTGGACGATGTAGGACGGGATTATATCAATTTGCGGGCTGACCAGGAACTAAGTTGAGGCGCCGTTGATCCGCTAGATTTGGCTGGATGCTGGTGGTGAGTTGCTGAACCCAACGAATACATTCTGAAGTCGGATGGGGTGAATGGATTAGGGTGCCCCTCTCGCAGGGGAGAGCAGGGGAAAGGGGGCCGCTGCCATGGGAAAGGGGGCCGCTGGTGAAGCTATACCACCCTGTAACAATCTACATACTGAGGTTTAGATTTAATATACGCTGCACAGAGCTAATTTTCAAACCTTGGACAATTCTGAAACAAGTTAAAACTAATCCCGACAATGTCGGAGGCCTACCCGGAAATCGATCCCAGGACCTTAAACCGATAGTTTCAGTAGTGTATCTAAAAATATTCTAACCCTCGCTCTAGTCCCCCATTTGGTACGGCCGGACCGGTCCTGGTCCTCACTGCTGGACCGGCGTAACAGGACCTAACCGAATTCCGGTCCAGCGCACGGTCATGGCCCTGCAGACTTGCAGTACCACACGTTGCAAGTGTTAATGTTAATTTCCGATTCCTTGTCCTTCAAGTCCTAGAAACAGCAAAATGTTGTCGCACTGAACTCAAGAAGAAAAAACGAAGAGCTTACGAGCTTATGGATGTTACGGATGAAATAAATAATTTTATTAGGGCAGCCAAACACTGCCAAATTATATAACACCATAAACCAAAAAGCCTATGTGAAAGCGAAGGTAAAAAACGTTTTATAAGATCCTTACATTCAGAGGGGTATTACGATGCAACTATTGAGACCGAATTTCCAGAAACAGAAAATGCGATTATTTTTTTACAAAATGGGTGGGAAAGGTATAAAAAGAAGGAGATTTTGCAGTAGCCGCTAATGTTATAGATTCCGAAAAAGTACTGGCCGAAAAGACTGAAAAAATAATTGCCTCTCAAGTTTCGATGTACGCGCAGTTTAGATGCACGAAGCCAATATTGATAAATCTGACGATACTCTTGCAGTAAATCTAATGGTTAATGCCGGGCCATATGCAGCAACTAATTCGGTTGATTTTAGAGGTCTACGTTCCGTAAATCCTGATTATGTCCGAAAATTTATTTCATTTGAAAATTACCAGTGCTTAAAGTCCTCTTCAAGCCCCAAGGGTCTCTTCGAAAGACGTGTCTTTTTACCAGAACAAACCCCGAAAGACTGGATCATACTGACACTGAGGGTAAAGTACTAATTGTAATTCAATTAGGACAGAACATGCAAGTGTAAAAGCTGGATTCAGGTATGGAACCGACTTAGGTTTTGGGACTACTGCGGGGTGGAGCCATATAAGCTTAGGTTTCATTTATCATTTATCATAAAGATACCGTGTCATGGTTCATACAATGTTTTTGAATTTGGTTCAGCTTTTGGCGGCTTTTCGGAATGACAGCGACAACGGTTAGCGGATGGGGACGACGTAGTAGTCTGGGCATATCACGGAATCTGCATCCGCCGATCGGTCTGCGACTTGGCTTAGGACTTTGAGAAGAAAACGTTTCTCCAAAGATATCTTGCTCTTAAATAAACAAGTTAACTTTTGCTTAAAAAAGCCGTTGGAGAGAGGAGAGACGTGATATAACTGACGGACGCTTGACAATGCACTAGATGGTGTCGTTGTAGTATGGGCCAATCCTGGGGCAGCGGCGGTGGCGGAGGAGGATGCAGTCGAGCATTTAGAGGAGCCGCCTCGGTAAGCTTCCATCAGGGTGGCTCACGTCGCGTACGTGCTGGTATTTCCATCCTGTAACGTCATGGTGTTATTTTCCCACCTGCACAAGCACAGGCACGAACACGGACACAGATGCGGGCAAGGGGCCCAGCATGGGCCGTGGCCGCAGCAGCCACGGCCACGGTGGTCATGGCTATCATTGTGGCCGTGGTCATGGTCGCGGGACCGTGGAGGGGGAGACGGATGCGGACGTGGAGACGGAGGAGGTGGAGCCCCACCAGAAGATGGTGCCAGCACAGCTCTCGATGGTGTTGCTGGTGGCATGAGTCCGGTTGCCGCAAGCATGTGTATGTCAAAATCATACCCAACCTCCTCTGCAGTGAACTCCTCAGGCTGCACGGCCTAGGCCACCAGCTCCGGCTTTTGGGGCGGGGCCCCAGCGCGAAGCGCCCAGGTGGGGTCCCGCCCTGTAGGATTGCCCATGTCCATGTAGCCGTGTGGCGTGTGGCCGTAGTGTAACGGACCAAACATAATATCTCGCCCGGCTGAAACGCGTTATTGGTAATAAATTGCACTCACTATTGCATGGTATCTCGCCTATAGCCAACAAAAAGGTATGAGCACAAACAACTTTGGCTGCCTCCATTGACCGAGGTCAAAGTCACATCAACGCCTCTAGGGCTAATTTTAATCTCAAAAGGTGCCGTGTATCTCATAATCAAATTCCGGGATGACGGCTTATGATAACTCGAACACTCAGCTTGTGTTACCATTTGTCCGCACGAGCATTCCAACTTGCCACCAGCAGGCCGACAAATTTGCTTTCATTTGTCTTTGAAATACGCAAGCTGCTCGTTTGTACATTTAATTTGGCCAATGTTCGGGGCCTCCGAAGAGTTGCGATGAAGCTCGCGGCTGTGGGCCGCGTTGCTGAAGCCGCTAGCGCTTAGGGAATAAACATCACAGACAGCACCGGACTTCACCCAGCTTGCGTTACCATTTTCCCGCAGGGGCATTCCGACTTGCGGTCTGCCGCACTGTCGATGCGGCATGCACCCGGGATGGACGCGATTCGCGTGGCGCCCGCAGGCGGTGCTGACGATTCCGCGGGTGCAAGCATAGCTCCCACAGCATCCGCACTGCTGCAACAAGCACACCTCCCACCACGTTGACGCTACCCATCAATTGTCACACGTGCCGCCCTAGCTACCGGCCTGTACGGATCCCACCCTTTTTCCGGCTTCGAGGAAGCCGACAACCGACTTGTCACCGCAACTCTCCCCATCCCCGCGATCATCGAAGGCCACAATCGGTGCGCGCATGAGGTCTTGTGTCGTGTGCTCCTCGATGTGTGCAAGAAGCTTCTCGATACATTGCATTCTTCGTCTGGTTGTGGTGCTGACAGGCTTCCGGGGCGGCCATATTGCCGTCGTCCACGCGGCAAAGTATCTGGCTCGTATCTGGACAGCGATGCGATTGAGAGGATCTGCGTGGACGGGGTGACGAGGCCGGCATTCAAAGCCGAAATCCTTTGTCTTGCTCAGCCATTAGCCGCAACGTCATTCGACCTTTTATAGATATCGATTATGTACAGGCATGCATACTGGAAGATGCTTCAAGCTGGTGCCGGGCCAACCGCCCATATGCGGACTCGACGGCGAAGGCTCCTCACGCAAGCTTAGGGTACGCAAGCTTAGAACAATATAGGGTTAATAGAATGAAGTAGGTAATGACAGGAGGACTCTATTCCGGCAAAGTGCCTTGCTGCAAGCACGTCTTGTTTTAAGGAGCAGCACTTTACATTGATATGTCGAGTAAATTTACTCCCCCACTGGCTCCTTCCCCCACCGCATTATCGCGTCGGAACACCAAAGGACCATGACCTGTTGAAAGCACCGTACGGGACGACAATTGGTAACGATGCGGGCGTGGGGGGATGTAAGATACGTTTCCAGCAATTAGAAAATTTCCCATGCTAGTGAGCATTTTAGAAGAGAGGGTTTCATGCCTTACTACCGTGATGGAGTACTAATTCTTGTAATGGCTAAACACAAATCGCCGTGAAGACCTTTACTTAATGCAGCCGCTACAGAAGGGTTACTGATCGTAGTTGCTTGCCTGACCGGGCGCATTGTAGCGGAATGGTGGAAGCATGTGTCATGTACTGCTCGCGTTGCAGGCTTTCGTGCCCAATACGAAATAATGCTATTGTGCTGCGTTATTGTTGATATGCGGAATGAGCTGTATCCATTATGTCCAACTGAGAATCGGAACAGGTGTTAAAGGGCGACGGTAACTAGGGGGGAAACGATAGAAGATAGTTTTGGGGAGCCTCTTCGAACGACTTTGTCCAGGATAATTAAGGTTACTCGCATAATTGCACTCCATGGGTGGGATTGCGAGCTGCCTATCCACTGGACATACCCGAGCGGAAGAGCCTGTATTTGCAAGCAAACATGCTGGAGGAGCTTTGGTGTGTAGCGAGACTAACGAGGCCGTGGA